CGGTCCATCTTGACCCTTGGTGTCCATGCTCTTAAGGAGCCCAGCCTTGGCTGATGGCCGCTCCTGGGATAGCTGGCCTGGGCCCTGATGGAGCGAGCCCCACTGCACCGGCCTCGGCCGCCCAGAGTCAGTGTGCTCCGCATGACAGGGCTCAAATGCAGCAGCTTTTGGTACAGCCTCGCGCTCTCGGGGTTCCGCGTGCATTCCTTGTGCCTCCACACCTCAGCCCGAAAGCCCGTAACATTTCCTGGTAAACATGCCTGAGACCAGCTGCACCTTCCATCCCGCCCCAGTGGACGGACGTGGAGTCATTTAAAAGGGGTTTTAAAAAGTCCTTTAAAATCAAGGTCTTCAAATGCCTCAGAGTGAGACAAAGTCTTGTCATCCAGAGTGAGAGACGAGGTGGGGCAGGAGGGAATCCTCTTACCCACCAGGGACAAGGGTAGCTTTCTGGGTGGCAGGTTAAAACTGCAGTTGTGAGAACTAAGGCATTTTTGTCGGAGGAAGAGGAAGAATGAGAAACTCGCGTGTTAGCTATGTAGGATACACTGAGGTAAGTTTGTCTATGAAACAGGAGGAAAACACAGAATATCTTGATAATAAAAAGGTAGAACTTGGCCGTGTAGGCTACAATATATGTTCTTCACTCAATTTCAGACCCAAACCTTGTCATTCTTTGGCACAAATGTACTACAAAGCTTTATTCTCTATGAATTCCCTCCTCCAAACCATTTGTCTTATCCATCACTTCTCAGTCACGATTTCCTTCCCAGCCCTGTCTCATGCCCTCTCATGCCCGGTGGGACCCCCTCCTGGGTTCCTGCAGACCAGATGAACCCTGCAGAAGCCTGTGACCAGGGGTGTGCACTGCACGGGGAGTGTGCCCCCTTGTGGTTTTCCTGGGGAACGCCTCTCCTGCCTGACCCACTGGGCCAGGCTGGCCGGGCCGCGGCTCCCACCTCCCACAGGCGACTCTGTAGGCGTGGCCTCCACACTGCACGGCCTGAGTCTAGCATGTTGCCCACCAGCCCCGCCAGGACCTGCTGGCCTGAGAGGGGCCCTGGCCTGTTGTGTGCGATGCAGCATGGGCTTCGCTTGAACTGCCCTCCCAGTGTCCCGTCCCAAATGCAAGCCAATAGCTTAAAAGTGAATGAAACCCTTTGGCTTCCAGTGGTATTAACACATGGTTCTCATGCTTTTCTCTGTGTGTGTGTTTTGTGTCTTGCTTGTTTTCTTTTTCCAGATGACTAAGTCGGTTACTAACCCGGAGGAGTTGGGAGGACTGGCTTCACAAATGACCAGTGACTATGGGCATCTGGCTCTCCAGGGCCAGATGGCAGCAGCCACGGCGGAACCAGAGGAGGTCTGCCACCTTAAGCCCCTGTTTTCAGAAGCCAACCCACCTGGTGCCCACCCTCAGGGGATCCCCCGTAGCTTAGCTCCACCCCAGAGGACCCCAGCATGATAGCCAGAACCAGGCTGAGTTCCCACTGCTGGGCTGCCAGCCCCAGCCTCAGACCCAGCAGCCCCCGGCCGTGTTCAAAGCTCAGTGTCTTTTCTGAGACCAACTCGCTGAGCTCTGGGGAGATCTAGGCTTTGAGTCAGAAGGACCCTGTTTACAGTGTTCTGCCAAGTCACCTGTTCCCTGGCCCATCAGCTGATGCCAAGGGCAGAACACCCATCGCCATCTTTCTCTTGCTTCCTACTCCCGCCTCGCACAGTTCCCTGAATTAGTTTTGTTTTGTCTTCCAAACGCTCATAGAAGCGTTGGCAGAGACGAGGATGGGTTTAGCTGCCCCTCTCTCAAGAAAGGGCTGTATAGTCTGCTTTCATAAAACAAAGTCTTGCCCGAATATCATCGGTGGCGTTCTAAGAACTGGCCCAGGCCCCTGCCCCCATACCTCCTTTGGACTTCTCTTCATTACCTACCTGCCTTCCCTAAATTGACTTTCCTTAATGACCAATGCAGACTTTGCCTCAGAACACCTGTATCCATGAGAGTCTTAAAATGGCCAAACACTGGTCCCAACGTTTCTAAGCGCTCCCATCGCTAATACCTCTGAGAAAGCAAGTGATCCACTGGGAAGCACACCAGATGGGTGGGGCTCTGGGGTGCCTGATTGCATCTGCATTGGTGTGAACCCACAGAAAGGCCCCAGTCCCAGCTCCTACATGGCTCCTTAGAGAAAGAGAGCTCAGTCTGAAATAGAAAATAGTGGACTGGATTGCAGGGACAATGGAAAGATGAAGGTAACTGCATTCCATGAAATTCGGCAAGCTGTTTATTGAGCACAAACCCTGTTGGCCACATTCCTAAATGAACCAGGCTGTCAAGGCAGAGGGTTGTGACGGTCTTCCCTTCTCTTTGAGGTGACAGTCAGCGTCCTCAAGTTCCTCGGGGCTAGTGTTTCTCCTAGGAGCCAGATGTAAGCATGTCTTAACAAAGGCCCCCCAGAGATACTACAGAAATGAAGACCCCAAACAAAATCCCTTTCTAACGTATATTGTAACAGTGCATGTAAATAGGAGTATCGTATATATGTACTTGCATACATATATATCTAGCATGAGATGACTTAAGTTTCTAACAGTGCCTGCGTTTTGAGATTTTAGAATGATTGAGTACTTAGGCTGGCAGCATGAATAATTCTATTTGTAATAGTCGGCTAAGTCACCACAAAGAAAGAAAAAATCGCAGAGACCCACATCAGGATTCTGTTTGATTCTTTACATGGGCCCATCATTTTTTAAAACTAGACTCCCTCTTTTAGTAAGGTCATCTGGACTCATGATTCATTTGATTTACATGTAATTTTGAATTTCATAAACAAGTGTAAGGGAACTTACATTACAGGAAGGAGGCCTGGTTGGACAAAGGGAAAAAGTGTTTCCCTTTGCAGGGAGATTAAAACAAAAAGAGACCGTGATTGCGAGGGGAGGGTTGGATCTGTCTCCAGAAATCTTTAAAAATGGAACCTACAGCCATCTGCCTTGGTTAATGTAAATGCTGGCCTGCCTGAGTTACTGAGTGAAGACCCAATAATCTGTTGGAGCCCTTTCCACATCTTGAGTTCCACCTCGTGTGTGAAACAAGCAGATTGCCTTATTGCAGCCCAGACCATCGAAGCAAAATATAAAATAATGCCACAGCAACCAGGAAAGAAAATGTATTGCTACAGGCACAACAACAGCTCCTTTAGTTATTCACCCTACATTTGTAGCAGCTGACATTTTCATTAAGGTTTTCCCTTTTCTCCATTACATCTTGAGATGTGTTTTACATTCCAGATACAAGAGCAGTATGACCTGGAGCAAAAAGGGGCAGAGAGAATATAAGATTACCAGTGGCTTGCAAAAGAAAATTCTTTGTGTGCATTTGCCAGACAGATATTTGAGAGAAAACTGAGAAGGTTAGGAGATCCCTGAAGCAATCATTTTTTATTCCAAGGCTGTGGAATTATTTGTATACCCAAGAGGGTCCACATCACAGCATGTGAAAATATTTATATCCAGGGCACAGAAGTAGTTGCTCCCTTCCCTGTAGTCCTACAGTCCGCTGTGCCGAGTCAGCATTTTGGTCTTTTCCAGAATGTGACAATTACAGGAAAAAGCCAGAGCTCTCTGCCCTCTGAACATCAAGCGGGGACTTTATCTTGCTTATTTTTCCATGGAAAATTGAAGCTTGTGTTCACTTCTCTATGAAAACTTCTTTCTTCAGAAAACGTAAAGCCCTCAGGCAACTTTGCCATTTAAGATTAGTTTCCTCTTTTAATAAAAAAAGAAAAAGAAAGAAAGAAATGCTGATCGTGGGAGCCACAACTCCTTAGTGTAAATTCTAGGGAAATGTTTAGTGACTGCAGCTTTGTCTCTAAGAAAGCCGCTGTAACCTCTTGTAAGACTGCGTGTCTTCAAAGCTCCTTGACTTGGAGCGAAACACAGCCCTTTTTCCCAAATGAGATGGGCATCCGCTCTCAAATTCTCTAAACTTTCCACTCCAAAACACACTTTCTGGAGGTGAGAAAGTGATGCCCTGCTTCTGTTGTGCACACTCTTTATTTGTTCCTTCCATTTTTTCTATCTCAGGAGAAACTGCAGAGTTTGTCAGATAAGATCCATTATGGTCTTTTCAACTTTCACAAACTCTCCCAGGCAAAGTAGATTTGACCTGGTTTCAGATGTGATTGTTTTTAAAGCCTAACAAAAATCTGTACATTTAGTTTAGTTTTAGGCAGTAAAGATCAGTATTTCTTAGACCCACCCCCACCCCATGGAAATTCGATCCCAAACCTCAGAAAGGCCAGGCTTCTAATTTCCATCCAGGCATAAAACCAGGATAAGCTCTTGTCCGGTTTACTTTTATTTGGGCAAGAAGGGAATGGAAGGTTTTGCTTGAGGTTCAAGTAATGCTTTACAAAACTTGCCAATTTAAACCCCCAAGTTTAATGTCTTTAAGCAGCATTGCTGTATAATAAACACTGGTCATGAGTTGGATCACCCTGGGGGCTGGTCATATATGCTGAGAAGTTGAGTGTTGCTTTGAGAAACTTAGCATTTTTATAGCTCTTATCTGTTTGAATACAGTCTCAAAAATGTCTTCCCTTTCTAGATGTTCTTCTGGCAGTACAAAATGTTCTGGGAAAGCGCCGCAGACTAGATGACTGTTTCGGTGATGTGTTGATTCTGTTGCCCTCTTTCGTTCAGTGCCCTAGCCATCACACGTGCCTGTGGAATAGAATAAGAGCATGAGAGTTGTTTGTTTATCAAGATCATACACTAGCCAGACGCTGTGCTGTCCCATGTACCATCCACTACAGCATGTGAGACAATCATTTGTTCTTCCCCATTTCACAGAGAAGCAAACCGAGGCTCAGGGAGCGTAGTTAAATTGTCCAAGACCACACAGCTACCATAGTGTTGAAGCCACTTGAAATCACTCTTCAGAAGTGGCCTTTTAAGTAAGTAAGCTAAGAAGTAACTGTGGAAAAGTCAGGATTTGAACCCAGCTTTGTTGGGCGATGCTTGCTGTTCCCCCTGCACCAAGCCACCTCTTTTCACAACAGTGAGCATTCACGTGGCACTTGCTACTTTCTGAGATCTTTTCACTTGCACCTTTCGTTTGGTTATCCATCAGCCCTGGGAAGTCGGCAGGACGGGTTCTGTCCTGTGTCCCAGGTGAGGGAACAAAGGCCCCAGGAGGTTAGTGGGCTCACCCAGAGAGCCCGGTGGCCAGGAAAGGGCAGAGCTGGAAGCAAGGTCCATGGTCCTTTCTGCTACCCAGGGGGCCCACATGGATGAAGGGTTGGGAGCAGGAGTGCCGCTGGGGTGAGAATCCTGAGATCCTTTCTGTTACATTCCGCCCTCAGCCTGTGAAAACAGGTGAGTGGAGCCTATTTCAGCTTGTCCTTTTTAATACTATTTCCCTCCCGCATGCTGTGCAGATAGGGTCATGCAGCCAGGTATACAGGAGGGTTGCATGGCCAGACCTCAAGGGGGCCTCCAGGTACCTAGCAGGCAACCGATCTGGCACAGACCCGACTGCCAGGGCCAAGCCCTGGATGGACCAACAACCCCGAGGACATTTGCACCTGTTCCCTTATTCTAGTCTCATGCCTTTGCTTTCTGGTGCCGCTCCTCAGTGCTTCCTAACTGGAATTTCGTTCGAGTGACATTGTGCCAGCTCTCCACCATTGCTTTTCAAGACCTTTGCTACATGCATGATGTCACCTCCAAGAAAGCAGCTGAGCACGTGTGAGAGGGGGGCTGAGTGCGCCAGAGTGTCATTGAGGGTGTATTGCCACCATTTAGCATGTCTGCCCATAGCTTGCAGGTTTGAGACAGCTGAGGAGCAGGTCCCTTCTCCCTGTCACCCCCAAGGTGAGTTGGTAGTGACTGAAGAGGCCTGTGCTTGTCCCAGAGCCCCATCATTCTATAAACAAAGCTCAGGCGTGGCTCCGTACAGGGAGCAGGATTTGGGGTTCTCTTAGCACAACGGTTTCACGCCTTATTCTTCAGAATCCTGACCCAGGAGGCGCTTTGGGAGTTCTGCATGTTGGACTCAACTCTCACTTTTTAAACCTAATTGAGCTGTTTGGTTTTTTTTTAACTGCCAGGAAAAGCTGCTTGTACTCTTGCATGTGTGCTAAGCCAAACGGTAACCCAGACTCAACCTGGGCCGCTGGGTGGTTCGAGCAGACCTTACGCTGATGCAGCCTGCCCTGCCCACTACAGTCAGGAAACGGCGAGAAAACTCCTGTTTATTTACACACGTGACAGGATTTTCTCGACTCTATGCAACCAAAGCAAAATACAGAAATGAGTTGGTGGCTAAGGCTAAGGCTATAACTGGCCTTCATAACCCCGACTTTTAAACTTGGGTTCACTCAGTCTCATTGACTTTTTATTGAGTCAAGGATATAAATTTTAACTCATAAAGGAAAAGTATACTACTAATAAACGACTTCTATTAATTTTACATGTTGAAGTCCCATGAGAGCTTTTATTGGTGGGGGGAGGGCGGATAGGGAGCCTGCTGCTAAGTGGGAGAAAAACATTAAAGAAGTTAGAAAAGCACTGATCTAGTGGATAGAGCACTGTCCTGGGATGAGCAGCCTGGATTCTCATCTGGCTTTCCCAGGAACTAGCAGTGTGACCTTGGGCCACTCACATCTCTTCTCTGGGCCTCAGTCTCTTCATCTGTAAATGGGGAGGTTGAACTGATAAGGTCCTTTTTATTTTGAAATTCCCTAAATGTTTCTTCCTTCATTTGCCCTGTGCCTCACTGTCCCAGCAGCACCTATCCTTTAGAGACCTGTGGTCATCCTCAGCAGCAGAACTCTTGCTTTTGGATTAGCTCTGGCCCTTGACCACTTAAGGTTAAACTAAATGGATCTGAAAGGCCTTGAGAGCCAGGTTGAGTTTAACACTTTAATGGGACATCCCCCTTCTTCAACTTTAACTTGTGCTTAAAGCAACAAGCGTGCCCAGCAAACAGCTATATTTAAATGGCATTACTGCTGTGGGGGCTGAATTAGAGGGCCTCTCCCCTCCTCGGTGGCAGCCTCGTTGCTGCACTAGTCCAGACATGTTGGCAAAGCTGCCAGGTTGTGTGATCCTGGGGTGCCGCTCCTATCATATTCTACATGGAGATGGTCAACAAGGACCCCTGCCTGCCTGTGAGGTTTTTTGCAAACCTTTGTGTACAATAGAAGACACCCCAAAGAGCAGAAGGTCAACTTTCTGGAGGAGGAGAATTTTCTATTAAATGGATTTAAATATCCTTTGGGCTTGAAAGGGTTAAGGGAATTAGCTTTATCCCTAGAAGCAGTAAGGGTTTCAATAATAGGAAAGTTCACATTTGCAACTTCCTTCACTCCTCTGAGTCCCCCTTCCCTAAACTCGGACTAATGGGACATTGGAAGACATCAGGGGGCCCAGATCCCTTGGATGCTATTCCCAATACCTGAGGTTATTTAGTAACTCTTCATGACAGTTGCTGGGAGGATAAATCACAGCTTCTTGCCATTGTGGATTCTTGAAAATAACATTTCATAACTAAAGCGTAAGGGGTTGTTTGTTCTTGTTTTTAGTTGCTTACCTGGGCTGGAAGGGCAGATGACTATGGCAGCTGTATTGGTCAAACCCCAATGAAAATGAATGTGAAACAGCCAGAAGAATGTAAACTCTGGGAGGTGACAGTGGAATTTATTGCACCTCAAAGAGACACCTGGCAGCTTATCCACAATGGAGCTCACTTGGCTTCTTTTAGGCAAAGTACTTTTTATAATCACACAAGCCAAGGGTCATTAAAAGAATGCGTGCCTGCTGAGCCGTCAGCTCTAAAAATGTACCTTTTGAAAGACACCTCAGACCTGGCCTGATAGAAAGGGAGCCTGGACCCAGTGTGGTTGCTCTCCCCACAGGGTACAGCTGAGGAGGGCAGTGTTCTGGCGGTAAACATAACCAATTTTGCAAGAATCTGAACACTTGGAAGTATGCTTAATACTAAAGCTATCTATTTGGAACGTCTAATTATCCTCTAGGGCTGTTGTGAGAAATAAATGAAATGAAATGCATGACCTGCTTAAAAGAGGCCCTGACACACAGTAGGAGCTCAATAAATGCTTGTTGCAGGAATAACAGAATTATCCAGCAGAGTTCATCTAATTGACGTTCTCTTATCAGGTGGCGCAGGATACAGATAAGCAATACACCAGGAAAGGCAGCACATATCAGGAAGGCATTACGCTAGGATGAAGGGGTGCAGGCTTGCTTACTGGGGACTGTGGGTACTTTACAGTCTCTGCAAAGGGAAGTAAAATCAACCAAATTCCATACTTCACCAAGCACAGATTCCTAATAGCAGTGGAATTTTCCTAGCCAGGCTCCCATAGGACATAGGAGAAATTTTCCACATAGGGAGGACCTCAACGGCCGGGTGGGTCCATCATGCTTGTCCTTCCCGACCCTGGCTGCCTCCACAGATTGGCTTCCAGATTCGCACTCGTGTGCAGGACCTGGGCCACGGCTGCATCTTCCTGGTGCAGAAGGCGGGGGCCCTCCAGGTGTGCCCCACCGACAGCTACACCAAGAGGGAGCTCATCGAGTGCGCCCGCGCAGTCACGGAGAAGGTAAGGAGCGGCTCTGGGGTCAGACACAGCCACCATGAACCGCTGTGACCGGGGATATGAGCGGGGAAGCAGCCAAAAACAACCCAGCCAAGTCAGGGCTGGTCGTCTTCCCTCGCATCCAGGGTCTCCCCCGGGACGGGGAGCTGGGGGTAATCCATAGCCCTGAGAAATTGAAAGTCCCACAGAAGTCAGGGCTCCACCTTAAAGGACTCTCCTGCAGACAGACTGGACAGACCCTATCAAAGTCAAGGTCAGCACCAGGAGCCCCTCCCTTCAACCCTTTGACACTTTTGCCCCTGGGGGGAGGCTCCCAGGTTCTGGGGGCTGAGTAAGAAAGACCTGAAGTTCCTTTCCTGTAACCTCTTTATTTCCAGGTGACACAGTGAGGTGGGAGAGAGTTAAATGCCTGCCTGAAGTCACTGGCACCTTGGTGGAACAGCAGGGGTCTGCATGGCATTTGTTGACTCTAAGGCCAGTTGTTTGTAGAGAGAATCACCTAGTGTAGTGGATGGGGCTCTAGGATCTCAGCTGAGGGACTTCACCTTTCGAAGCCTCGATTTCCTCATCTGTAACATGAGGATAAGGAAATATTCTTGGCCCATAGGGTTTGTGCAGGTTAAATGCAGTGGTATGTGTACACGTGCTTGGCACAGTGCCAGGCACAGTTCAACATTTTATAAATGCCAGCTGCTATTCTTCTGTGTAAACTGTCCTCCCGGGAAGGTTTCCCGGGCTAACGATGCCCCGTTCTGAACGTCCCTCCATTCCCAATATCTCCTTTATTCTCCCGCACTCTGCTAACCTTTTGCTTTGCTTATTTCTCTGAGTCATTTTTCAGGGCAGCTGTTGTGCAGGCTGCCAGCAGTCCAGGCTGAAGCAGCCGTGCTTGGCTGGCTTTCCCTCTCCTTCACTTGTGTTCTTAGCACATAGAGCTCTGCACTGTTTAGAAGCTTGGCAGCAGGACTTGAGGTGCAGGTGGGAGACCCCTCACCTGGAAGTTGCCCTACAGAGGCCGCTCTGTACATGGCCCCTCGCCGAGGCCAAGCCACAGTCTGGCCATCTCCTGCAGCCCACAGGATTGTCCAGGCCTCCCTGGACTCCACAGGATGAGGAAATCAATCTCTCAGCTCTAGGAAGGCGCGCTCCCTCCTTTCAAAGCCCTTCCTTGTTATTAAAGTTACTCTTGCCAAGTTTCCCAGTAGAAGACCTTGTAGCAGGAACACAAGGGAGGGAAGCGTGGTTCAAGCTGCAGTGGTGTTGGTGAGCCTGGCCAAGCAACGTGATCTTCCTGAGCTGGCCTCGGTCTTTCTGCTCGTCCCAGCAGAGGAGCCCTGATTCAGGACATCTGGAGAAGGATCAAAGGCCGGGAGGCAGCTTGTCTGGCCTTTTGGTGGTTTCTTACTAAGGGTCCCTGACCTTCTAATCTCGTGCTCCCCATCCTCGTCTGGTGTGTCTTTCTTACATGCCTTGGTTGTGTCTGTGTAACTGCCCCCAACCATGAGCTCCTTGACGTGTTCCCTTTTTTTTGTCCTCATCCCCTAGTGACTAGTAGATGCTCAATAAATACAGCTGACGGACCTTTCACAGTGTGGGGGATAATTTCTGGACTCTTGCTAGCTGAGAAGGTCCCCTCCAGGCTTCTGATTACTTGTCTTGGCCTTTGTCACGGGAGTGGGGGTCTGACCCTGCTGGGAGTTCTTTCCGGGAAGTGGACCCCTCATGCCCTGGCCAGCTCTGTGCCAGCCTGACTCATCTTTTCCTGGTGGGACAGAGTGGCATTTAACTTAGGAAATAGTTGCTTTGGGGCTTGTTTTGGGACATGGTGGGTGCTCAGGAGATGGGCTGTCTGCCGCTCTTGTCAGGCTCTGTCCACCGCCTCTGCTAAGATCTAAGCAGCAGAGGAGGGAGAAAGCGTTCACACCATGTGCCTCTCACTGATGCTGTAGCTCCCTGTCCTGTCAGCGTGTCTTAAGAAGTACATTCACAAAACATTTTTAGACTCCTCTTTTAGTCAGCCATAGTCAAGGATGGTGGGTGTGTGTACACAGGGATTAATATGATGGCTCCTGGCTTCAGAGGTCATCCAGCCACTAGCTGGATGTATACTGTTTATAACCTGCGGAAAATGGGCCATCTTGAGGGTAGGATCCTCAGGAGGTCCAGCCGTCTCTCTGGAAGAGGACAGTGGGGAAGGCGTCCCAGCGGGGACTTTGAGCTGGCTCTTGTAGAGTGAGTGTGTCAGTGGCTGGAGAAGAAGAGGGGAGAGCACTGCAGGCAGAGGACAGACCCCTGGGAGTAGGGAGAAGCACAGGCTGCTTGGGGAAGCAAGGAGCTGGCTGAGGCAGTAATGAGCTGTAATGATGAAGTAAGGAGCTGGCACGAGTGGGGTAGGAGGCTGGAGAGGCTGAACTCCACGGCCAGGAGAATTGCACGCAGGAATGTGGTGGGGTCAGGTTTGTGTTAGGAGCATCTCTGGGGACAGTGAGGCTGTGCTGGAGCGGGGTGGCAGGTGGCAGTGGTCAACACTGGGGCGCACACCTTAGCCAACTTGCTGGCCCCTCAAGCCACTGGAATTCTATTTGGTGGCAGGTGATGGCTCGAGGGAGTGTTGGGGTGGAGAGGTAACCTACAGTGATGCCCTCTGAGCCCCAGCCCCTCTGAAGTCCACTGTGGAGAATTTCTAATCAAAAGGTGGCCAAGGGAGTGATGAGTGTTAGCAGAAGGGGCTGCTGTACAGAAAACCTGATCAAAGGGGACAAAAATAGCCACACCTTTCCCAGGAACCTGATCCTTTATTCTTCCTTGTGGTCTCAGAAATGTAATCCTAAATAATGGCATCTACCCTCTACCAAACACTGACTACATGCCAAGTGCCACGCTAGACATGGGACATACATTTTCCTGCACTTAATCCTTCCAGCCACCCTGATAGACAAGAGGCAATAGCCCCATTTTACAGATGAGGAAACGACTTAGGTGAAACCGCCTGCCAGCAAGTGGCGAAGCTGGTGTTCAGGCTGAGGCTGTTGACCCGAAACAGTGCCGTCAACCCCAAATCCACATCCACTCCCAGAGAGGAGATTCAGTGTTTTCAGAGTCCACGCACATTTAGATTACGCTTCCTCCACTTCTCCGCACCCCCTGACAGTCCCTCGTTGCCTACAGGTATCCTTGGTGCTGTCAGCTCTCCAGGCTGGGAACAAGGGGACCCAAGCATGTATCACGGCCGCCACTGCTGTGTCCGGGATCATTGCCGACCTGGACACCACCATCATGTTTGCAACCGCCGGGACCCTGAACGCAGAGAACAATGAGACCTTCGCAGACCACAGGTACGGGGCTCCTGGATGGGGAGAGGGTCGGGCTGGCCTGCTGGACTTTGGAGGTGCCGCCCAGCTGCCAGAAATGTGGTCATCTGTTTTGATTTCAACAAGATGTTCAAGTGGGGAAAGTGAACCACGTAATCCGAATAAGCCCCTTTTGCCGACTGTCAACGCGTGAGTCGCAGTCCGGCTTCGCCTCTCACAGCCTAAATCCAGGCTGCTCTGCAGAGGGTGGCTTTTTTTTTTCTTTTAAAGATTTTTTATTGGGGAATTGGGGGGATGGGCGCTTTTTGATCTTTCACTTTCTAAGCTGGAGAACTGTGCCTGTGATCTGCTTACCAAGCCCAGCGGGATGGGCGAGGCGGGGGCAAGCACAGTGAGCGCTTCATGTTTGGGAGAGTGCGGCTCCGAGCCTGCTGTCTCTCCTGGGCTGGCTCTTCAGGCCCCACTCAGAAGGCTGGTGCCGGGGTCTCCGCTTGTTGCTGGAGACCACCCACACCCTCACCACGTGTCCAGCAGGCTTTTCCTCTCTCTTAAGTCCCAGGGCTGGGCTGGGAACAGATTCCCAGTGCCTGGTCACCCCTGCCAGGACCCAGACTCTTGGGCTCCAATGCTGGGAGGGAGGGTCCCCTGACCCATGTGCTCTCACAGCTCCCTGGAGCTGTGAAGTGTTTTAGCGAGAGTGGGAACCACAGGAAACAAGCTGACCTCTCATTAGCTTCAGGGCTTGGGAGAGGGGGCCAAACTGGTGGGCCTGAATCTTTCATTGAAGTTTTACTAGTAACTGGCTACGTGACTACTTGGGCTGACTTGCCTCTCCTCTCCCCGTTTCCCTACATGGAAGATGAACACCCCCGATAAGGGAGGGAAAGCACGATTCCCCGCTTTTTCAAAGCCCTGTAACAAAAAGCCCCCGGTGAAGGGTTTCTTTGCTTCCCAACTACTAGTAACCAAGCTTTGCTCTTTGCTCTGCCCACACCCCCCTCCACCACCACCCCCCAACCCCATCCACT